CGCCATCTCGTGGTAGTACAGTAATAGTACGGTAGCAATATCTCGCGCGGGAATCGCACGCTTGGTTATCTGGGAAATTGTGCAAATTCTTTTTCTTCTGTCAAAACTTTTATTTTCCGTTAATAAAAATATTTTAAATTGTTTCCATAAAACACTAAATTTTATCGATAATTTTATAATTTTACTACATGTAGCTCTTTCTTTTATAGGCAATAGTTGTCTAAAATCTCCACCCAGAAGCATAATTTTACCACCAAAAGATAAATCATTATGCATAATATCACGTAATGTTCGATCCATAATCTCTAATACATAACGAGGTGCCATAGAAGCTTCATCAAAGATAAACACGTCTACAAGTTTTAAATAATCAGCCTCTTTAGATTGGATTTTAATATTCGATATACAGGGTGTAACAAAAAGACGCTAAGTATTTGTATGTCACTTTAATTTTAATCCTTCCTTTGCATACGTGTAATATTATAATAGCATGTTGCAATTGCTTGTAAATTCCTACGATTTTATCAAAAATGTAATAATGTCAGTGATTTCTCTCTGATAATGTTTATAAAACTTATGAATATATATATCTCACATTGCAACATGCTATTATAATATTACACGTGATTCAATGTGTTGAATAGCTTGAAATTTGTGAAACCCGAATACCGAAAATAAATTTAAGCTACAATTATATAGTTATAATTATAGTTTAAATTTATTTTCGGTATTCGTGTTTCACAAATTTCAAGCTATTCAACACATTGAATTCAACTTCAGTTCGATCACTTAACATAAGAGCAAGGATTCCCCTTACCCCATTATAAATAGTATATATTTCGTTTACTTCGACAGTTATTAATCGTTTTTATGTCCATCCGAAGTTAAGTGCTTTATGGTCACTTCCCTCTATCTGTGTGCAATGAAAAGAACAGAATTTTAATATTTAATTTAATTTACATATCTGGTTTTATATGTGCTACTGAATGTTTTATATGTGCTACTATATTGTACTTACTGTCTGTTACTGCCAAATCTCTATAACCCAATATGTTACGCTGTTTAGCAAAGTTCTGCGGTATAAGACCGTATGCAACCCCAGCTGAAGAAATCCCAGCTAAAAGTATACCAGCCTTCTTGAAAGGATTGATTGATTTTGCTTTATCCTGCAAATAAGCGCTATAATTTAGACAATATTCAGATATAATCAAAAAATAATATACTTATAAAACAATAAATAAACATATATAAGCAGACATATATAAGCAGATATATATACAAAATTTCAATCTACTTACTCGATAGAACCAAATATATTTTCTTGCTATATAACCTTAACCTTATTATATCTTGACGTCGCGATGCTACCGCGTACCGCGACCCGCGACTACCGCGTCGCTTTATACGTATCATATACGTATGCACGCATATATATACACATTGTCTCTCAAGGCGTATTTGCACACTCAAGCGAATAATCATACATGAGCGCTGCAAACGCGCCTTGAGGGACAAAATCGCTTTGCGTGTATGCGTGCATACGTACGTACGTGAGAGTCTGAATCTTATGAAAACTAAAAGTGTCACACTCTGGTATACGATTATCATACGTCAGGATTCATTATTAAAGGGGAAAGGCCCCATCCCCGCCTTTTCCTGTGAGGCACAACCAAACAATTTGCCTCTCCATATTTTACCCTGAAAAAAGAAACAAATAAATTAGGGGTGAGAACGGCCCCACCCCGCCGTTTTCTGTGAAGCACATCCAAATTTGATACTGTTTCTCCAAGGTAAAACAAAAAATCAAAATTTACTACTTAACGATAGTCTGATGGACTGCTGAATAGAATTATCTTACCAGTCTTGCCGTATAAATCTGGAATAATGAAATAAATTAATTTATTATAGAAATTACTATTTTTTTATTTATTTGTTATTTAAAAAAAAATTTAAAAAAAAAATTTTCAATAAAGAAAAATTGAGATTTTTATTATGTCCAAGTTTGTATAAGATTAAAGCTTGTGAATGTATACTTCTAACAGTATATCCAAAGATACATATCATTAATTCAAGATTTCTAATATTTTAGCTAAATATTATTATTGTCTCCCTTTTTACGTACCGATTTGCGAAAGATTTATGGCAAACGGGATACTCAGAGAACTTCTCGCCTGTGTAAAAATGCAAATGGCTCTTCAATTGAAGCTCTTGCGGCAATGCAGACAATAATGCATCATTTCCTTTCTTTTCCAGAATTGAGCATTCCTCTTTAATAGGCGTCTCGACGGGATTGATCGGTTCGTGTTTTTACTTTATCAGATACGAAAAATGGAAAGGGCCCCATCCCCGCCCTATCCTGTGAGGCACAACCAAACAATTTGCCCCTCCATATTTTACTCTGAAAAAAGAAATGATTAGCGGTGAGAACGGCCCCACCCCGCCGTTCTCTGTGAAGCACATCCAAATTTGATACTGCTTCTCCAATAAAAAAAATATAAGACATTAACAATAGTCTGATGGACTCTCGAAAAGAATTATCTTACCAGTCTCGCCGTATATATCTGAAATAATGAAATAAATTGATTTATTATAGAATATTAATATTTTTTTATTTGATTGTTATTCAAGATATTAAAATTAAAAAATTTTTTTTTTTATGTTCTATAGCTTAAATTATTTTATTCTTAACTTTAATTTTTCCTTTATTAATTAATAATTTAAATTTAATAAATTTTTATAATTTATATATAATTACTATAAATTATTATATTTCTTTATTTACCATCCTCCATCAAGTTTTCTTGCTCTCCCAATAGCACCTGCAGATCTTTGTCCTGTGCCATCTTCTCCACAGTCTGGTCATCGTCCTCATCCATGTTGTCCTCAAAATCGTCGACGTCAATTCAACTGTATCTATGTTCTAGGTGTCGACATCGTTGTTTTCTGTTCCATCCGTGTGCTGGGTGTCCATTTCATCGTTTTCAGCTCCCTCCATGTGCTGGGTCTCCTCAACTTCGTTGGCGTCTTCAGTTTCCTCCTGAATGTCCTCGAATCCTATAATGTCCTCTTTCGGGCTGTCCATTCGCCGGCGTCGATTTGGTAGGAATTCCTCATTTTCTTCATAAAGAGGGGCTTGTCGTTGTTTCCTATTGTAACGCCATTTTCTGGTTTTAAGGTGTAATAAACCGCTTCCGCGAGGCGGTGACGGATAACTCGGTCAGGATCCGGGACTCGTGAAAGGGTATCGAGAGACGAACGAAAGTGATGTTAGATAAAATATAATTTATTGCGTGTTGTGGTGTATATGTACAGCGTGTGTGGTTATGTGTGTGAGTGTGTATAGGTGTGCGGGTGTATTGGTGTGCGTGCGAGACGAGTGACGAGTGAGTGAGCGCGCAAATGTATAAGAATAATTAGTTGGGCGCAGAGTGTGGAATGTACGATCGTTATGTATGAGCGAATGATACAAGCGTGTGAGTGCGTGTCGGTGTATCGCTGTGTGCGTGAAGCGGTCACCTGTATGGCGATACGGCGGTGTGCGATGTATAACTGATTATAATCGATTGAATATAGATATAATGTAAATGCGTGTACGATGCAGGATGTACAGCGGTACGGTCGTGTCGGGTGCAGTGCATCTAAGGCAACGCACGGGTGCGTTGCGTGGTTCGTGATTTCGGATCGATAGAATATTGATTACGGATCGCGGGCCGCGATTTCGGCAGATGACGTTAGCTACCGGGCGGTAATTTCTGGGGGGGGGCGGAATGCATCGTTACATCGGCTTTTCAGAGCCTTCTCCAAAGCTTCGTGGAATTCGATGTTGTTGGAGTTGGGAAAATGTTTATTGGCGTTTATGGCATCTGGAAAAGAAATTCAGAGGAATACCTTAATTATCATCATATATTTAATGTAGAATATGGACAATGACGGATGGTATTTTTTACGAACCTTGACATGCTTGAGCGAACCGACTGTCTCGCAATTTGCATCCCCCAGGTCCAGTTTTTCCATTTAAAATCAGGTGTGATGAAATCTCCTCATCTTCGGGAAATACGCTGCGAAAATATTCTGCAGCGCAATCAACTGGATTGGCCCGTCCAAGGTAAACAAAGTATCCCATGTAACAAAATGTTTGTAGTAAATTGAATTAGTGTAAATATATATCTAGAAATAATTATAATAAATAATATATTACCAAATTATTATAAATTTCTTCGTCAACTTCTTCGAAGGCCAAGAAATCGTCTACGGTTCTGAACGAAATCCCTTGTGGCTTAACTGGTGTTCGAGAGCGACTCGATTTTAAGCGCGACAAAACGCAAGGATTTGCGGAAGGACTTGACGTCACCAAAAAAACACTCATGACTTTCTAATTTTGAGTCTTTAATAATAAAATGAACGATAATGTCGATTAACGTGAATAAATAACAGTTTTACACAGAAATAATCACAATGCACGACTAATTACAACGGTATTCAAAAAACCAAAAGAGAGATTGTCCAGAAACGAGCGGTTGTCTTAAATGCGGTGTATCACAAGAAATAGCGGTTATCAAAAGAAACGTAGCGGTTATCAAAAAGCGGTGAATCGTATGCGGTAGCCCTGCGCGTTCTAAGCGAGTGTGTGTGCTCCTTGCGAGCAGCCTCTTTTATATTTTTCGAGCAACGATCCTTGTCGTTGCTCGCCGCCAATGGTATTACTCTACTTTGCGATGTTCAAATTTCTAACGGGGCGCCGAGTTTAATTGACCGCCGCGTGAAACTTCGCATGAATTTTGGCGCGAGATCGAATTTCGCACAGGCGATAGGCAGGCGGCCTATACGTCACGGCCTACTACACGGCCTCGCGTGTGTCGGTACCGCATATCGAGCGCTCAACCGTCGAAGTTGTTTGCGCACTTATTTTGATACTTGTTTGCGACATGGGCTCGGTTATTATCACAAAAACTCTGAAAGACAATAATATTAGTCGAGCTGTTGGTATTTTTCGACTTTGAACTGGAAGATGTTTTAACAATTTTGCTAAGCCCATGCCGCAATGCGAAATTAGATTTGATGTAATTTTTAATGTTTCGACGCGATCTCAAACAACTGGCCTCCTCACTGCAGACTCTCGCACTAATCGTTTAATAGACGTTGTATTTTCACTGCAGGAAAAAATGAAATTATAAGATTAAAAATTCATTTATAGTAAGTTGCTTGCTGTTCCTTAATAAAATCATTAATATTTACTCAATTTTCTTTTCAATAGAAATTTGTCGCCCTTCCATACGACATAATTGCGCCGTGATCATTCTGAAATGAAATTGATGTCTTTATTCATGCACATGGACAATTATTTTTGTTATAATTATTTTTAAAACTTACTTTAGAGATTGCAATATATCACGGGATGTTCTCTCGTTTTTTGTGCACTCTTCTTCATGTCCTTGTCTGGCTGGTAATAGACGATTGCGTTGTACAGGTGATGGTGGTGGTCGTGATAATATTTGTTTATGTTGTGATAGTAGTTTTGATGGTGGATGAATGTTTAGTGTGAATGAATTTGTGGCTGGTGAAGGAAAGCGTGATGATATTTGTTTGCGTTGTGGTGATGATTTTGATGCTGGAGGAATATTTCGTGCGAATGATTGAGCAGCTGGTAAAGGAGAGCATAATGATATTTTTTTGCGTTGTGGTGGTGATTTTGATGCTGGAGGAATATTTCGTGCGAATGATTGAGCAGCTGGTGAAGAAGAGCGTGATGAGATGAGTCTATGTTGTAATAGTGCTGATGGAGGAGGCATGTATTCATATGATTGCGCAGGTGAGAATGATGATGATGGAGCATGTAGGGATGATGATGCTGGGGATTGAAAATGTTGATATTTTGTTAATGGTACTGTCTGCCTCTGTGTAGTTGTGGGTGTAGTCATGTTTTGTGTCATATGTCCTTGTGTGTTTTTGACATCTCTTCGTTGCAATTCCTAAGAATGCGATGTGCGATATTTTGCAATATCCGTACTCAGCAATTGCAATGCTTTAGATGTTAATTTATCAGTCTTCTCCGTGTCTCTTCCTCTTCCTTGTCCTTGTTGACTCATCTGAACAAAAATTTTAGAAAACCTACCTAATAAAGGCCATTTTAATCTCTGGTATGTAGAATAACTCCAACTACCCAGACATTAACAATAGGATCCCTATGCCCTTCAGTGTGCCAATAAGGCATGCGAAAACATTTATTCCGTACTTCATTAAGATTTATTATAATAAATTCATCAGATAATGAAGAACATCGAAAGACACCTACTGAAGACGATGGCAAACCAACATCAAAAAAATCTTCAAAACTCTGCG